GCTGGTGGACTGACCCTGGATCCTCACCCCCGACTAGAGACGCGCTGGTGGACTGACCCTGGATCCTCACCCCAATAACTGCCCCGAGGGTGATAACAGTACAATGGTGGGGGGCTGGCCAAGAGGTTCTGCAGAACAACCAGCACTGCCCGTGTCTGCTCTGGGCCTTATCTCTCGGACTCACAGACACACTGGGTCTGGTTGTGCAGGTGGTGCCACTGGGCGGTGCTTGGCCTCACCTGGATCTCCTCGCTCCCCTTTCTGTCCTGGGGCTCCAAAAGGGCCTGGGCGGGTGTTGGGCTCTCCTGGGTCACCCCGGTCCCCAGCAGGACCGGGGAAGCCGGGGTCTCCGTGGATGTCCGCACCTGTGGGGGGGATAACAGCAGTGATGTTAGCAACCTCCCCTGTGCCAGGCTGATCTTCTGAAGGGGAAGGACAGTCACACTGTGCCATGAGACTCGGGAACAGAGCCAGAGGTCAGCCGTGGCGATTTCGGCTAGCCACGCGGCCTCAGTGTCCCAGATCTGATGGTAGCTGAACCCCTTCTTGGTCTGCAGAGCCACCGGGGCCCCTGTCCATGTGGCCCCTGGATGACCACACAGCCCTCCTGGCGCCATCCTGCTCCCTGAGCCCCAAGTCCGGGATGCCGCGCAGCACCCCTCCCCTGTTGTTGGGCGCGGCCGCGTGGCTGGGGCAGCGCCGGGTACCTGGGGATCCCGGAAAGCCTTTGGTGCCTGGCAGGCCGTGCAGTCCGCTGATGCCTCGGATGCCGGGAAAACCTGTGCGGATTTCACTCACGGTTATTCTGCGCACCAGAGAGCAACGCGGCTCGTAAGGTAGCTCAGACCTGCTTCTGTTGGCATGGTCACCTGTCCACCTCCCTCAAAAGCACAGGGAGCATTCCGCAGAGCGTGACGTCCGTGCCACCCAGGAGAAGCACTCACACCAAGACTGTTCTGGAATCTTTCTGCAGATTCCTTACACCTTTGAGGGAACTGGAAATGGTGTGTCGTTTCTCCCCCTGATGCCCGAGTCTCTCTATAGATTTCGTTCCTAAGAACTGTGCTTGGAACCAACAGTCTGGCATGATTCCATTCCCTCTGGATTCCCGAGGACGAACATTTCTAAAGTAGGACCCGGGAGGCAGGGGGCGAGGCCTCCTGTGATGTGGGCAGTGAGTGTGGGTGGGGTGGGCCCCCTTCATGCTGAGCAAGACAGCCCTCGAGGGCCGGGTGACCCCCAGCTCCGGCCAGCCCTGGCTCAGAGGGCAGGTGGGAGCCCTGGACAGAACATCAGGGACACCAGCCTCCGTCCCTCTCACCAGATCTGCACTGCCAGGGTGCCCACCAGAGAGGCCAACCTGGCTAATGGCGCCTCCCCCCAACCAGCCGGGCTGGCTCTGAGCAACTCTGCGTGTCGTGTCTGCAAGGGGAGAAATGCTCTTTCTTACCTGGCGAGCCTGGAATCCCTGGCCAGCCGTGGTCTCCTTTGTCACCGGGCAATCCCACTCGCCCCGGCTCTCCCTGCGGCCCCTGCAGCCCTGTCAATCCTGGGAAGCCTGGGGGGACACATGCATCCTTAAGTGGGACTGGAACCCCGAACTCAGGTCCCAGCTGGAGGAGGAGGGGCTTTGTGAGGAAGGATGAGCCTTCCTTCCAGCAGGGAATGCACCCCACATGCAGGTTCAGTGGGGGTGGTTCAGCCTCGCCAAAGAGAGCAGCTTGCATTCCCCCATTCTCGTCCTGTCATCCAAGTAGGGGTGCAGAGAGAACCCAGGAGACTCTGAAGGATTAGCGTCAGGACTCCCAGGTGCCACGCGAAGCAAGGCAAAACAAAGCCAAAGCAGCAGCAAGAAAAAAGTTCGAAACTAGTCCCCTGTTCGCTTTCCATCTTAACTCAGGATCCACAAACGCGTTTCCGTGTATTCAAATGCACGGAAGGGGTCCTGGAGCCAGGACTCGGTCTGCGTTCCCGGGGAGATGGACGCTGGGCCACATGAGCACGTGCGTCAGCTCCCCATGCGTCTCCCCGTGGCCGGCGGCGTGGTCCTCCCCGCGAATTTGGTCCTAAGGCAGAGCTAGGTCATGGGCATCATGCAAGAGCCCGCCTCCCGGGGTGGAGTGTGGTCACAGCAGACAAGGACACAGGCACGCCGGCCGCTCTGTGCTGGGGGCCTGGGGGTTTGGAGCTCAGCTGTGCAGGGGAGGGTGTGCGCAGGGAGGCCGTGTGACGGCAAGATCTCATACCTGTTTGCCCTTTGGGTCCGGGGGGGCCCTGGACGCCTGGCACGCCTGTTATCCCGGGGAAGCCAACTTCGCCCACCGTTCCTTTTTCCCCAAAGAATCCCTTTAGACCTGTAAGCACAGAGTTCCTGCTTGGAGCAGAGCAGGACCTGCCTCCCTGGGGCCTAGCCCTTGCAGGACTCAAGGGGACACCAGGAAAGGGACGCTGTCATTCCACATTCGTGCCTCTGCTGTGAACGGGCTGCGCATTTGAGCATGATCCTTCCCTGACAGTATGATCCTTCCCTAATATGTTCTCTAACTCAGTGGCCCCACGTCCTGGTATCCATGCCCTTGTGCATGGATGGGGCTGACCGGGGCGGCCCCCAGGACACTGCAGAAATGCAGGTGTGTCACTTCAAGCCTTGGCCATAAAATGCATCATGGCTTTCCTTTGTCCCCTCTTTGGATGGCTGGCTCTGGAGAAGGCCAGCTGCCCGGCCGTGAGGACACCCAAGCCCATGGGAGAGGCCCATGTGGTGAGGAGCCGGGGCGCCCTGCCCTCAGCTCCTGGAGGGCACCGTCTTGGGGGTGGACCCTCCCGTCCCAGACCAGCCTGCGGACGGTGCGGCCCCGGAGTCAGACCCGCCCAGCACCAATTCCTGGTCCTCACGCACTGGGAGATGGCACCGCTTGTGGACGCCCCCCGAGGGCGGCTGACACGCATGTCGCGGCCCCACTTCCCCTGGGACTGGAGTCCTGTGTGCACAGTGGGAGGCTCTGCTTCCTGGGCCCGCGGCTGAGTGACACCGAAACATTCAAGGGGGGACAGCCACGATTCCTGTGGGGAGCGGCTTCTCTTCCCCAACATGTGTTCAGTTGAACAGATGGGGTCATCGTCAGTGACTACAGAGCAAAGATGCTCTTGCCCTTCTGCTTTTATAAACCAAACTGCTGGAGAAATTCTTTAGAAGGGGCGATTTAGCCAGTCCAGGGGACCCGTGTGGCTGGGAGGAAAGCCACCGGGAGACCAAATTCTAGATCTGCAATGAGCCCCGAGAAGCCAGTAGACAAGGGCCCACGTCTGACTCCACGCTAGACTGAACCCCCCCCCGTCCACAAGATGCGCTGGTCACTGTGTCATCTGCTTCCCGTCCCCTCACATCCCTTTCAGGGACAGACAGAGCTTTCCTTTGTCTTCAGGTTTAGTTTGATAAACAATTCCAGCGTCTTGTGTGCACATGGGCTCGAAGACCTCAAACCGTTCCCCGAAACGTGACTCAGCCACACAAACTGAGTGGTACATGGGGCGAGCCAGCGCCCGAGTGAGCCGCACGCAGGGCTCAGGGCTGTCGCTGAGATGCAGGGGCGGGGAGGACTCTCGTACCTGGTGTCCCCGTGACGCCCCGCTCCCCCTTCAGGCCCGGGCTTCCCGGCAGGTCTATGGTGTCTCCGATATCACCTGCGGCAGGCAGAAAACACGGTTGACAACAGGTCTTCCAATGGCAGGTGGTTAGTTTCACAACTTTGCTGCGTTACGTTCCTAACAGAATAATTTGCTTCGAAATTCCTGACAGCATCTCAGGGTCTGACCGCCACCCCTGCCGGAATGCTCTGGATGGCGGACGCCCTACGGTCACGGTCCGAGCAATACTCACCGAAGTCACCCGTGGGGCCAACCTCGCCGTACAGGCCTGCTCTGCCCGGAGCTCCCTTGTCACCCTAGAGCAAGGTCAGACGTGAAAACATCTCAGAAGCTGTTCACAAAGTCGGTTTGTAATTCTGAAGGGTTTAGCCTGTCCAGCTATTTGGCTAAAACCAGCACTCAAGGTTTGTTATCGGATCGATTTGCAGCCAAGCCTTCGAGTTTTTCCGCATAACGGTGGTTCTTCCTGGGCCGTGAAGCCAGACGCCAGGAACTGACGCTAAGAACAGAGATGATGGCTGTCGCGGTCACGACCGCGGTGGCAACATGCATGGCTGACTGCATCCCACCCTGCACCGGTGCCCACGCTGGGTCCCGTCTCAAGAGCGCCACTGGAACCTCAGGACAGCCCTATGGAGCAGATACAGCTGTCCCGTTTGACAGATGAGCAAGGTGAGGCACAGAGAGGCTAAGGGATTTACCCGAGGCCACCCAGCTAGGAAGCGGCAGAACGGGGATTGGACATGGGCCCCTGGATTCCCAAGCTTGCTCTGATGTCGCCCGGCCTTGCGCTCCGTCTGTGGACACTGAGACTTCCCGAAATGAGGCTGGTCGTGATAGTGACACTGGGATGGCGTCCGTGTGGCTCTGTGACCACGGACAGCACGGCTCCCCCGCCTCCGGCCGAGGGCGGCGTCCTGGTCTACACCGCAGCATGGGCGGGGGATTCCACACGGTGACCTCTCCCGGCCTGGCTAACTCGAGTCTGAACCACGACCGCGGCCCCGCTCTGGGGGTGCGGGGAGGCTGCGCCCGCGGCCGCGGCCCCGTTCAGAGGGCGCTCTGTGTTCTGTTCTTACGGCTTCCCCTCCTGACGAGGAGCACACATCCGTGTGGCCCACTCATCTCCACGGCTCCACGGACTTGACTCGCGTGCCTCCCAGATAACGACACCGAGCGTTTTCAGCCTGCAGAACGTTCCCTCGCGCCCTTCCCTAGTCCCTAATCCGGCCCGAGACAGCCGCCGTCTGGCTGACCTCTGTCACAGTCTTGTCGGCTCTTGACCTTTACACACACGGGGTCCCATCGTTAGCACTTTCTGCTTTATTTCGTTCAGTACAACGTCACCTGTTTGGTTGCATCTCTCGGGAATTCTCTCGACCGACCGCGTGATCACCAGTGGTGGTGGTGTGTGCACCCCGGGACCCGGGGCCGCCGGAGCCCCAACTTGGAAGCTGACCGTGGACCACTCGTACCCCAGTGGATGCTGGATCACAGCACCCGCTCAGGAGCCGAGGGGAGAGGAGCGATCACAGGCAGATGTGGAGTAAGCGATGCCCACTTACCCTACTTCCTGTGAACCCGGGAAACCCTATGATTCCGGGGGGGCCGGGCACGCCGGGGAATCCTGGTGAACCAGGCACGCCGGGAACGCCGATGTCTCCTTTGACTCCTTTGATGTGGCCCGGCTTCCCCGGCAACCCGGGGACTCCCGACAGCCCGGGGATCCCTGGCATTCCTGGAACACCTGCGGGAGCACCCCGAGTGTGAGTTGCCACCCCTGCGGGGGACGTGGTGGCCGCCCTCCCCAAGCGTGGGGCTTTGCAGTCCCGACGGCTGCAAATCTTAAACCGGGAAAGTGAGGCTACTCAGGCCGCAGAGAAGCCGCGGGCCACCGCCTGATCCAGATGTTGGGGTCAGAGGAGCTGGAACACAGCGGGGCCTTCTCGGAAGGAGGGGCGTCTGGTGCAGGAAATACTGCCCCTGGGGCTGAGCGGGGCGGGCGGGGGGGCGTGGCAATGCTCACCTTTTAGGCCCAGGTATCCTTTCAACCCCATAGGCCCTTCATCTCCTTTCTCTCCTTTGATGTCTTTCATTCCTGGCAGGATGATGGGAGGTGGTCCTGGGGGCCCGGGGTCCCCGCGGCTGCCTGCAAGGGAACAGAATACAGTCTCTCCCTTGGCCTCCGGGCCAGGCGGAGGGGCACGGGAGGAGGCCCCTCAGCCGCGGCTGTCCCGGCCAGCAAGTCCGGGGGGGCTCTGAGCTCCGGGGTGGCACGTCCCCCCCAGTCCCGACTGGGCCTGAGCAGGGGGCAAGGGTCTCCGAGAGAGGCCGAGGCTGATGGCAAATGCCTGGCTTCTCCCACGACCCCTTCTCCATGCGAGCAAGTGCGGACCCGCACCCCCGGCCACTATGGAACTTTAGAACATCTTCTTGCCCTGGAAAGGAACCCTGTGCCCATCAGCAGTCACCCCAACTGTGGCCTACCCCCCGCCCCAGGAGGCCACGAATCCACGTCCCATCTCTGTAGATTTGCCTATTCTAGACATTTCACACAAAGGGAAGCAGACAACGTGGCAAAATGCTCTCAAGTTTTATCCACGTTCTAGCAGGTTTCAGACCCTGGTCCTTCCTTCTTGCTGGTCAGTGTTCCTTCATGTAGATCTGTAAAGTTCTCATCATCAGGAAAAACTTCTGTGACTCTGGGTGGTGACAGGTGTTAACTAGTCTTACGTGGTGACCATTTCACTTACACACAAATACTGAACCTCATGTCATCACCTGAAACTGAGGTTGTTTTCAATTATACCTTGATAAAAACTTCTATTGAATACAAACAAAAGTTTCCTTGGGTTGGATTCTTCCCTCATGACACGGCCGGTGGGTTGAGGATGGGATAAAGTCTTCTAATTTTTGTTAGTTTCCTTCTTTTCTAATTGTGCCTAGCTTTTGGGTGTCTGGAATATTCATTTTAAGCAGTGCTACGCCCCACAAAAGTGAGTCTCAACCCTGTCAGAAACACGGTTCGAGAGGTGGACATACCTTTCACACCTGGCTCCCCAGCCAGACCCTTCAGTCCTGGAATTCCAAAAAATCCGTCTTCTCCTTTGTTTCCCGGAAGCCCGGGTCTTCCTTTGAGCCCGACCATGCCTTGGAAACCATCCATCCCGGGTGAACCTCTCCCGCCTTCAGAGGGGACGAGAAAAGTGCTGGGTTAACCATGGATAAACACACGGGATATTTCAGTCTTGCTCATCTGTGACATTCCAAAGAGGCTAAGATTCCTACTCTAAAATAGGGATTTCCGGGACACCATTCCTAAGGGGCTTGTCTGCTGACCTGCAAACAGACTGAGGTGCACAGAGTCAGCCCGCCTGCCGAGTGGCCACTGGGGCCACGACCTACGGCAAATGTGCAGCGGTCGTATGAAAGACGCAAGGAAAACGGATGGTAACCTATGTCCCTGCATGCCGGGGAGAGGTCGCGGCAGGATGTTAATGCTGCGCCCAGCGTGGGGATCCCGCAAAGGATCCCTGGAGAGTCAGATCACCGTGCAGCTCAACAGTCAAGGGCCAGAGGGCTCCCCTTCTAGGAAAATTGGCCTCCGTTTGTGTGCAAATAAACCTAGCCCAGGGACCAGGTGTTTTCCTTGGTTTTGGTTTTGTAATAACCAACCAGCCTCTGGATCTGACCCCAGTGTCCGGAGAGGCCTCTCCACAAATCTCCCATGTGGAGACCGAGTCCTGCTCCCTCGCTCAGGGTACATGAGTGCCTCGGCATTTTGGGGCAGGTCAGTCACACCCAGCCTAGCATCACTAGCCTGTTACCCCCCAGGTAGGATGCCTCCCGGGGGCCCCAGCCTGCCGGTGAGCGGGGCTAGCCTCTCCGAGTCCCAGTGTAACCCCGTGCCCACCTCAGGGAGCGCCCCGTGTGCCCACCGTTACCTTTCTGTCCGGGGATACCAGGCATTCCGCTCATTCCTTTAAACCCAGGACTTCCTGGGGGGCCTCTCTCCCCCAGCAAACCAGGATCACCTCTATCGCCAAAGAGACCCTTCATGCCCACAGGGCCAGGGACACCTGTGTCCCCTGGGTCCCCTCTGTCTCCAGGCAGACCTGAAAAGCAGAGGAGGAGGGAAGGAGAAAAAGATGAACAAACTTAGAAGACCTAAATGCTCACGGGGGCCTGTCACCCCGGATGGCGCCCAAGGGACATCTGCACCCCAGCCTCCTTGTGGGCGGTGCGGCCTCTGTGGGGGGCTCCGGTGGGCAGACAGCCTATGGCCTCATCTCCGTGCCTCCTGCCTCCACCCACCTTCCCCCGAAGGAAGCCCCTTCCTCTCTTCCCCAGTTCTGTCACTTTCAGAAAACAAGTAATATCCCTCCTCAAAGCAGAGCAATGATTTTGAAGTTCCACAGTGGAAATTTCATTTTTCCTACTGAAATCTTCCCTGGGACCCCAATATACAACAGATATGAAGGATGAATGGGTTTCTCAAGTGGTTTGAATTCTTGTTTGGCAAAACACATGGCCTGTTTCTGGAACCTGTTATGAACAGTGTCCTCCCCCCTTTCATATGTTGAAATCCTAAAGCCCCAGTACTGCGGGGTGGGAGTGCCTTGGAAGACAGGGCCTCAAAAGAGGTCATTACAGAGAAATGGGTCCTAATCAGATGTGACTGGTGTCCGTTTAAGAAGAGATCAGGACCTGGACACACCCAGGGGAACGTGAGACGTCTGGCCTCAAAGTTCGTGCGAGAAAGAATGCTGTTCAAGCTGCTCGGTGTGGGGTTCTTTCAGAACCCCTACAGGTCTGGGAGGGGGTGCCCTGGAGCCCAGGTTGAGAACTCCCTGGGGGAGGGTGGTGCTGGTTCACTTGTCAGTACTTGTGAGGCTCTGACCCCTCCAGGGCAGGGGGCATCCTTACCTCCGTGACCGGGGGCGCCTGGCAGCCCCAAGGGCCCCTCCCGGCCGGGAGCTCCTGGGAAGCCGTGCTGTCCCGGCGGCCCGGGCAGGCCTGGCTGGCCCGAGGGTCCTAGGAAGCCCGGCTGGCCCTTCAGGCCCGGCATTCCCGGCATGCCCTGGCTTCCTGCAGGATGAAGACAAGCGGTGAGGCCAAGCCCACGCCCGCCGACCACAGCTACCTCTCAGACGTCCTCTACCAAACGGCGTTTGGTCCGTTCCGGAGGACCCCGGAGGAGGCACACAAGTGTAAGGGATAAGCTCACAGCGACTCCGGCCGCCACCCACACACACGGCCGAGCGCCCTCCCTGCTGACCGCTGATCGCACCAACGCACTGAGAACACACCCTGGCAGCCTGACGCCAGGCTGTGAGTTTGTCTTGGCTTTTTTCTACTCGACGTTATATTTTGAGCATTTTGCCACATTTTAAAATATTCTTTATGTGTTGAATGGGTGTGCGCGGAGCAGGACCGCGTCACGTGGACACACTCAGCGCCCGCCCGGCCCTGTTCCCGCGGACGGTGCCGTGAGGGATCCGTGCCCGCGTTGGAGGCCGTTTCCTCGGGACAGTGTCCTGGAAGCTGACTTCGTGGGTCAGGCCAACGCTCACCCACGCTGTGGCCATGCGCTCCGGCGTCGGCTCCGGGGTCTGCACCCAGCTGCCCTCCCACGGGCTCTCCCCGTCAGGGCTGGTGCCGACACAGACGGGAGCCCGGCTGGCAGGATCGGGGGGAAGCACCCGATCAGCTGCGAGATGCGCAGGGTGGGGTGAGAGTGACATTCCTTTCTTCTTGGGTTGGGTTTTTAATGGAAGGTTTGTTCTACTATTTTCCTTTGGGGATATTGATATTTTTCTTATAGATTTTAGTATTCCTCATATACGTTGACTGATTTCCTCCACAGCTATTGTAAAGTTTACTCTACTTTGCTGCCCAAAATTTCATTGTGTTTTTGACGTGAAGATTAGCATCCGTATGCAAACTTTATGTACTCTGTGTGTGTGCACGCACACGGTTTCTTCCCTTGCTTTTATGTTTAGAGCTCCTGCCCTACCAACTGGTCACACGAGCATGTATTTTCTTGTAGGTTTCTTTTTCCCCAGATACTAAGTCCCTGGGCCTTTCTTCTGGGGCTTTAAAGTTCACTACGCTCCTCCAGTTAATACCAGTAGGAGGGCCGATGCCCACTTCACAGAGCTTCTCCAATGACCTTCAAGTGCACCTGCTCGTTGAGCCCACGACCATCCCACGGAGCGTGCAGGCTGACCTGAGTGGAGGGGCAGACCAGTTGGGGGACGGAGGGGAGGGGGCATTAACAAAAGGGACCAAGTCAGTGTTGGACCAACCCAGAATCCGACGTGCAAACGTGTGTCCCAGTTGTCTGATATGTGGACACAATGGGGGAGAAAGGTCTGCCAAGAGCAGGAGCGGATTCGAAGCAGAATCCTGCAAAGAGATTCTCCGAGATGCATGGATGCATGTCCTCACGTTCTCCAGTCTTAGTACGTACGGGAAATGAGGGCACGTCTACGGCTCAGCTTCTCCTCTGGGGTGAACAGCTCCAGACAGAGGATAGAGCTCATGGTGCTGACGGTCTTGGACAGCAGGCCATGCTGGAAGCGGTCAAGTCTGACTGGGGGGGTCAGGCTCCTGCTGCAGACCATGCCCATCCACGAGGATGGGCAGATAGCTTCACCACCAAGAGCCCTCCAGGCTGCTGAGCTGAGAGTTCACGGGAGCGGAGATGGGAGCGGAGGCTGTTGGGTTGGTGTGTCCGAGCACGGTTTCTGGGGCGCCTCCTTCACAGGAGTGGGACGTGGGCAGGACCGGCTGCAAGCGAAGGGGTCTGCCCCGACCACGGCTACTTCAGTGGCTGCCCTAGAAAAGTCAGGCCTGGGTGGCTGGCTCCGCAGCTGTCTATTGTGACATCAGAACTCAATATTTTAAGCCCATTTCCATTTCTAGAACATCCGCTAAAAAAGGAACACCAACAAAAAATCTGCTTCCTTCAGCAAAATAACTGTAACTCGTGGACCTGGGCCCCTGCTCTCTATGGAGGCTCTTTGCCCACACAGGCTGCACTGGGCGTCCCTGCACCAGGCCCACGCGGCCGAGCGAGCCGCCTGCCCGCTGCCTCATTGCCCCGGCCGGTGGGACCCACGCGCAAACAGGTTCTCGAAGCGTCGATGCTCCCAAGTCAGAACTTCTACTAAACAGTAAGTAAGCAGGTCGCTGTGGGGACATGGTCGCTGGGGAACCTGCACAGGCCCGAATGTCAAACTGTGGCCGTTTCTGCTCCAACACCTTGAAGTCTGCGGGAAATAGTTACGTTTAAGAACATCCTTCAGAAGGGCCCCCTGTGAAGAGCCTGGGTGGTTTGTGCAGCCGGAGAGCACGGAGATTGTTGGGGGCACGGTGCCGCCGCTCCTTTAAACAGCCTCCGGGGAGGCTGCCGCGCCCCATGCTGTCCTGCCAGCCGGCCGGCCTCCGAGGAGCGATGCCCGTAGCTCCATGACCGACTGGGGGTGCCACGTCGGCAAGGACAGACGCAGATGTCCCGGCAGAGGGTCCCCGCCGCTGCGTGACTTTACCCACGGCCCGTGTACCTGCTTGATATGTAAGAGGGTGAGTGTGGATGTGTGGACGTGATCGTGTGAGAGCGTGTGGGCACACGTGTGGGTCTCCGTGTGTACGAGCAGGCATGTCCGTGTGTGAATAAGCCTGTGGATGTGTATATGCACGAGTCTGTGGACCGTGCGTGAGTGTGAGCCCGTGTGTGCACTCTGGCCCTCTCAGGCTCCTCCTTCAGTTCTTCAGCCTCCCCCCAGTGGATCTCTCGGTGAAGCCCGGCACCCAGGCTCGGGGTCCTCCTCTTCAGTCGACAGTGGGGATGTGATCGACATGGGACCCCCTGCCCCGTCCCCCCTCCCCCAGCCCCAGCCTCAGGCCTCCTGGAAACAGACAGGCTCATCCGAGAACCCAGTGGCGCTCCTGAGCCTGGTGAGTTCACCTGCCTGTCGAGAACCAGGCTTCTTCCGCCTGAGTGTTCTGAGGCCCAATGACACTGGGGGGACGGGCCACCCGCTTCCCGCACCACTTCTGCCCGGGCTTGGGAGCTGGCACTGACAGCCGGGCCGCTGACGAGGAGTCGATTCGTGAAGTCACGGCTCTTCCTGCATCTCCGTATCCGGCGGGCAACACCAACGCTCTGGTGGTCTCCGGTACATTGCGCACCGAACGTAAATGCTTGCTGTTCAGTGACTTCCAGTCTCCCACGGACCAAGGGTGCTTGGGGTTCGGATGCCAGTTCTGCATAGACTGGATTCACAGAGCCATCAGATGCCTTGGTCACGCACCAGACTACTTCCTTACATTACACCGATGATGCTGCGGACGTTAAAATGTCCCACTCCGTCAGTTTTCACACCAGCCGCTTAAGCTGGGCCCCACGTCATTCTGTCTTCTGCCTCGCCCTATTCCTCAGCATGGCCTCTTCCCTTCACACCAGCACCACACATTCTGCAGAAAGCTCCCCCCCAGCTTGAGAACAGACGACGAGCATCATTAGTCTGTACGTGTGAAAGCTCAGAAGGCCACCCCGTCCTGGCTATGGAACGTAAACCCAGGATGATCAGTGTCCTAAGACCTTCTAAAGGGATACTGGTACTGAGTGTGGGGGAGAAAAAGCAACACGCACTCCATACAGCCTGTGGTTTTCATCAAATCCCGGAAGGGATTTCGGACCCACCTTTCTGCGCCACGGTGACGTGGGACTGGGCTCCCCGCTCCCCTCCCTCCGTGAGGACTTACCCCTGAATCCAGGTGGGCCTCTCTCTCCTGGAGGGCCTTTCAGCCCGGGCTGTCCGGGCAGTCCAGCATCACCCCGGGGCCCGGGCTGGGCTCCCAGAACTTCTCCGGGAAGGCCCCTGTCCCCTGGGGGCCCAATGGGGCCTGGCAGACCAGTGGGACCCGGGAGTCCATCCGCACCAGGAAGGCCTGCTGCACCTTTGGATCCTCGGGGCCCCACGAACCCTGAAATGAAACATGGGTCATCCCCATAACTGCAGGTTAGCATCATGATGGGCCAAGACAGGTATCAGAAAGAGGCTGCAAATGGCAAGGTTGGCAGTCGGGGGCCTCAGCTCAAGCCCTTGCCCAGTCTCCCACCTTGGGACCCACAGCCTTCCGCCCCGCTCCACCATCTGGCCCCCAGCCCCGCAATGTAGCTCAAGTGCAGAAGACCTTTAGAAACATCTGCTTCTTGGACCTGAATCTTCATAATTCATGGGCTTCCTTGTTGTACTAAGATTCCCGAAAGAATACCTCCCCTGGACCTTCCAAGTTATGTGTGCAGGTGAGGACAGAATTCCCTCCAATTGCAGGAAAAAGGCGTATGCTCTTTTAGTCACCGACGGCTTCTGTAATTCTTTGCCGTGTCAAATGTAGATGAGCGCTTGCTCAGACGAGCGCAAGCTCGAGAGCGAGCAGCTCAGTGGAGCATAGACACCCTCGTGTGCTGTCTGGTGAGTGAGAGATTGGAGTCGACGACCTGAGGGCCTCGTGCCTTTGGTGACAGACTCAGAAGAGGACAGCATTGGGTTGCCTTCAGAATGTTCAGCATCAACCAGAGAAAATCGTTCTGCACACCTGTCTCTTTTTTCCTGTAGGAGCTGGAGGGATCTTATGCAAAACTCCAGCATGACATGAGTGATGGGAAGGTGGAGAATTTTTAATTTCCCAACCAAGGAACAAAGTGGTCATCAAGCACGTGTTGACAGTTTCTGAGTGTCCAAAGACAAGACAGCTGGGGCACCCACATCACATGCAGTCGCCTCCCAAACCTACGGGGCTGCATGAGGGTCTGACCCTGCCTTACCTGGGGGTCCTGGGAATCCTTCACGACCTGGGTCTCCAGGGAAACCCCTGAGCCCTGGTGCTCCGTCAGCTCCCGAGAGTCCTGGTATCCCTTGGAGGCCCTTGGCACCTAAACAACCCAAAGAAACCACGACACCCATCAGAGCCCCATGAGCAAACCCCAGCAGCAAATGTATGGGAGATGGTCAGGTTCAGCAGCGACCTCACACGGTCCTCGTGAGCCTGGGAAACAACAAGGCGGGGGGATGTCACCTGAAAGGGTGCTTTCGATGGCTGGCCATGCCCATGGCAAACCCCACTGACCCCGCAGCTGTGTCCGTTTATGCCCTCCCCAGAGGGCACTGGTAGAAGCCTTCCCTCCAGACTTGGCTGAATCCTTTACCCAGAGCCAGTCCTCCCAGATCTGAGAAATGTTGACTTGTCGTACTTGGAATGGATGCTTTAGACGGAACAGCAGAGGAAACCTCAGACCAGCTAAATGAACGAATCCTGTACTTTTGGATGTCTTTGATCTGACCCTTTTCCTGGGAAGCAAACTCGAGATATTTTTTACGCATGTCTCTGTGTCTGTCTGGTCTGAGGCTCAGAGATTCCCTTCATCTGAGGAACAGAATAAAAGGGCTTTGCGTAGAGGACGTCCTACACGGGGATAAGGTTCGACAGACAGAATAAAGCAAAAGACGCATTTCTCAAGTTGTTTGAAGTGAAGATGCATTTGGTGAGCTCAACTCATCAGTCAGTCCCTGAAAGGTGATCATAGTCAGGCCTATGGGCGGGTGCACCCAAAAAGAAGACAGGACACAGAACCCCGACATGCTGCCTCTGAGCTCTCCTGCGGCCTTGGGGTCACGGGCCAGGGCCCTTCTGGGGGATCTGTGTGTGCGGGAAACACCACACACCATTTTCTGCATTTTATGCAAGCCCCCAGTCACGTTCTGGATGGAGTATCAGTCTGCACCAGAGATGTGGAATCTATGAGCTCGTGAAGCTTCATGTTGTCAAAACATGATCAAAACCCTCCTCACACGCAGCTCATGTGTATTTTGGGCCCTGCTTCCACCCAGTTGCTGCTGAAAACCGTCCTTCCACAGGCTGCTACCCCTGCGGCCCGCCGTTGGTGGCTGGGTCGGCGTCTGTGGACGGACAGACGTTCAGAGCTAGAGCGGGAGAAGGTCACAGTGCCGTGTGGATAATGCAATGAGGGAGATGCATGCTGGGTCCTCAGAAGGCAGCCCGGGGACGTTTCAGTGCAAATAACACTTGTGCCTTTCGCCCTGCTGGTCCCAGACCCCGGGCACTGTGAGCTTGGGAGAAGCCCTTGAGCTCGGGGATGTGTACCATAAAGCCACGGACTTTTCCAGTCTTGGGGTTGTCTCTCACTAGCTCGGCACTTCACAGTTTATATAGGACCTCCCCCACAGTGTATCACGTGCAGTGTTAAGGTTGTCATTTGCAAAGCGGGAGGAGTCCAGAACACCTGTATTATTCCTCTTGTAGAGCCAAGAAGACTAAGACCCACAAGGGATGAGAGGTGCCCGAGGCCCCCCCGCTAATTAGCGGAAGAGCCGCGTGCCCCATGCTCTCAGCGCCGAGTCAGTGATCGGAGTGATCGGGGCGCTTTCCCTTGCCCTGCGGCAGCCAGAGGAGGAGCTCCCGGGGTCTGAGGACTCGTCTGTCCCGGGCTGACAGACACAAGCATCTGGGGGTCCGCCAGGGGCGAGGCTGCCCAGACCCCAGCTCTTATCTGAAAAGCCATGCCGCGACTGGGCACGTGGACACTGGGCTCTGCCACCTGGAACCTTACTCGATTCACGGGGATGCTGTGGTTGGGCGACCCTACATGAGTGACCACGGTCTGTGACGTCTGGGAGGGAGGAGGGCGGGGCAGCAAGAAGAGGAGCCAAGAGGGACAGGGACAGCGAAGACACAGAGGAGGGGGGAGACGCCTCCCGCTTACCTGTGGGGCCTGGGGGTCCCGGCAGGCCTGGCGATCCCTTGGGCCCTCCGACACAATCTGGAGGAGAGGAAAAGAGAGGAGCTGGGGCGTCTCTCACGCTGACTCTCCCCGCTTCACGAGTTGCCATAGGCGGAAGCGGCTGCCATGAAAAGCGGCCACTGTTTTATGATCAGAGTCATTTAATGATTTAATTAATCTTGATTCCAGTGTAAATAAAGGTCTAGTTTCTTTGTGTAACGAATCAGAATTTTAGGATAAGGGCCAGAGAGATCAGTGCAGTGAAACGGGCCGGGCACCGGGCTGGCGATGCGGTCACCTGCACCGAGGGCCGTCGTCTGGCACCGCTAAGCTACTCTGGGTCCATCCCAGTCTGCCACTGGGACTGCCTGTCTTCCTCTGATGTTCCCCACTTGATGGAGGTGGCCAGTGATTGCTAAAGGGACTCTTTGACTTCTCCTTTGGACTCTGAATCCTTCCAGAATTAGCCACGGCGCTGAGCGGCTGTGAGCCGTGAGAAATGAAACGGGCTGTGGCCACTTCCGGTTGGGGTGGCATCATGGGGTGGGGGGTGTTGTGTCGTCCGGCCTCCTGTGCGGCGCTAGGGGTCCCGGGCTGCACACCGGCCAGCCCAGGTCGTCAGGATAAAGGAAGCGGAGGTCTCCGGGGTCACGGGCTCTGGCCTGCAGTCTCACGTTCAGGGCCCTCCCAGCAGCTCTCTGAAGGCACCGCAGTGCCCGCCCTGCACCCTCACCCCGAGTGCCTGATCTGTGCCCACACGTCCGCCCGACCTCGTGCAGGGACCCACGGACCCTGACGTCACTTCTGCAACCCGACCTCGATCCTGAGAGTCACACCCAAACTTTCAGCGGCCGCTCGCGACCTGCTGCATGCTCATGTTCTGGGAGAACCTATACTCCACACAAATCTCTTCAAAATCCTGACCGAGGCTGGCGAAGTTTCCTTCATACCCTGCACTCATCCTGGCTTCCCACTGGGGTTCCTCAGTGCACCTTCAATGCTGGGCGGCTCAGCCTCCGATGGAGTCTCTCCTGTCCACCTCGCCACCTCTGGGCCTCGGCTAGGGGTCACCACATGTCCCCTTCCATCAGCCCTGGTTCTTTCTAGCATTATCCATCGCTTGGCCCCATTCTCTTCTGACAGGTATCAGACCCCTCCTCGTACAGTCCACACACACACGGATGAATACATGCATAGATTTCAGTGTGACCACACTTATCTGCTGAGTTCTTACCAATACTGTAGCTTGATGCTTCATATTGGTGGGAAACCCAGGTAACCCTACGCTGCATTACGCTTGCCTTGCCTTTGGTGACAAGAGGACGCGAGGGTGTGCCCCTCCAAGCCTTGCACCATCTGCATTTCTTACTGCACCTGCAGGCTCTCCGGCGGAGGTCACAGCAATTGCTGGTGAGTCACACACTTCATAAACCAAAAGCTCTGAAGTGTCCTAAAGCGTCCTGGTCTTCACTACAGTACCTGGCTGCACGGCCTCCTGTCCGTCACCTCCGATGGGCCTTTTCACACCTGTGTCACAGTCTGGGAACAAGACAAATGCAGGAGTGAGGCGGCTGAGACTTAGGGACCTCCCCCGGGGTGCGTGCTGCGGGGAGGCCGGGCTGGCGGGGAATCCAAGCCCCATTTCTGAGCTTCTGTGCAGAGCCCCCATGACCCCAGCACCCGAGGGAGAGGATCCAAGTGTGACCAGAGTCTGATGGGCCTGGAAAGCCCCGCGGTCAGGGTCACTTGAACATGCCAAGAACTGATGGTGCAACATGCATCCTCACAGGGCCCCTGGGGGAATTTACACATTGCCAAAGAAGGACAGTGGGTGTTGGGGCCAGTGTCCCGTGACTGAAAGATGAAGAGAGGCTTCCTCCATACCTATTTGTGCGGGAGTGCCTGGGGGGCCGGGGGGACCGGGAAAGCCTGGTGGTCCAGGTAATCCGGCATCTCCGGGGAAACCACGCTCGCCTTTGGGGCCGGGCAGGCCCAGTCCCGGGGAGCCTCTTTCTCCTGGAACGCCCTTAGTGCCAGGTACTCCTGGGTAACCTGAGTCCCCTGGGGGGCCTTTGATGCCATCACCCTGTATGAAAATTCAGTTTATCTCTTAAAATCCACGTAAACCTCAAAGGCAGCCATATCCCACTTCTCCTTCCCGTTCCCCCGAGCTGGTGTGATGGACGCGGAGCAGGATGGCGGACATTAGCAGCACCTGCCGTCACGGTCTGACCAAGCACGAAATCAAGGCAGGTTCTGTATCAGTCTGAGTGTTTACTGTCCTCTCCCCAAGCCTCTGGCGTCCCCCAGCTGGGACCTTCGTTCACAGAAGCTTCTGATGGGAGCAGTTCAGCACAGGCTCGGATTAATGCCGGAGGAACACCGTTCCTACTGCTAGATGGGGTATTGGGACGTATCCCCCATTCACAGGGGCGATCCATCTTGAGAGGGAAGACAGTCTTTGATTTGGACCAGAAAGAGCAGCTCACTGGAGCAAGGAGACAAGACCGGATCGAAGAAGCGGGGGCTCCCCGTGGGTCAAAGTGCCCAGCAGGTACAGAAGGAGAGGGGCGGTGGAGCGATAAAAGGGGGCCGTGGGCGCGGGGTTAGGGGACTGAGGTCAGCGGGGGCAGACACGCGGCCGGCTCCGTGCTGAGCGGATCTGAATGGGCCAGTGTCACAGGGCGGCCAAGTCCCAGCCCGTCCGCCCGAGAGCCGCGCGTGAGGCTGGGACGCGCCAGGGGCAGGTGGCAGCCCGTCGGCGCTCCTGAGCGTCCCACCTCTCTGCCCTCCCGCGGCTCCCGGCCCCGCGGAGACCCCAGGACCGCAGACGGACCCGCCGTCGGTGCGCACGAGCCTCGGGGGAGGCCGGCACACGCTGGGCGCGGGCACGCAGCAGCCGGCTGGTATGGTTGTGCCACACCCACCCTTTCCGAAAATGGTTCTCAGGGTTGTAACTAGAAAAACGACGCCAGGTTACGAACAGCCCAGGTGTTTTCCAAGAGCCCAGGAGAAGTGCTCCGAAGACCAAACAGTGCTGTGGTGGGAACGACGCGGGTGGAGTGAGCGGGCCTGGCCTGGGCGTGAGGCCAACGAGCTGGCGCGGGGAACCGCGGTGGGAGGCTCTGACAAGGACGTGCTGTGGGTGGAACCGCGTCCCCCCGGGATGCTGGAGTCCCGACCCCGGCCCGAGAACGTGGCTGCTTTGGAAACGGGGTCCGTGGCGGCCGTCAGGGTAAGGGGAGGCTGGTGTCCCACAGACGGGGAGATTCGCGCACAGAGACAGCGCGCACGCAGGGACGACGATGTGAAGACACAGGCGGAGGACAGCCGTCTACAAGGCAAGGGACACCCGAGGCCCCCGGGCCTGGCGGAGAGCCTGCAGCGGGTTCCGCCCGGGGCCTCGTTCCAGACTCCCGTCTGTGCTCCACCGGGACGCATCTCTGCTTACTCTCACCATCCCCTGTGCCCTCTGGGCTTGGCTTCCAACCCACCTCCCTGTTTCCTCAGGGCAGGACTGCTGCTCGTGGCAACAGTCCGGGCTGCGCGGCATTCAGCACAGCGTCAGCGCCGCGGGCGTCCGAGGGGCGCAGACCCAGACCCATCAGGACCAGGGCGGTGCAGCCCCCCCTCGCTCGACTCACCGGAGCTCCCGGGAGGCCTGGGAAGCCATCCAGCCCGTCGCGGCCCGGGACACCGTCGTCACCTTTCAGCCCCGGCACACCTGGGACCCCTGGCTGTCCCCTCTCACCTGGGAAAGGATTTGCGGTGTGAGGGCCACTCAGGCAGGAGCAGCTGCTGGAGGACTGTGGGTCCAGGAACTGCCGGGCCCTGAACACTGACCTTTGGTGGTGACCGCTCTGGAATCCCCCTTCACCCCTTTGGGCCCGGGAGGTCCAACGTTGCCAGGGGTGCCCTGTGGGAACAAACACACAACGCCTTCCTCCTTCATTCTGTTAAGGGCCCCTGGGAAGGTGAGGAGTTTCACGGCGTACAGCCTGGGAGCCCCCACCCACCATCAAGCACAGCACTGCCCCAAACAACTTTCTGCCTTGCGAGGGACGCTCCGTCCCTGGCCGTCCACTTTGGTAGCCACCAACCACAAACGGCCACTGAGCACTTGAAGGGGGCCAGTGGGACTGACTTCTAAATTTCAGATCATCATTAAAACATAATGAAGTAGCCCTATGTGGCTGTATAGTGAAAACCAGAAGCTCGCCGCTCCCGGTGTGGTCTGCGGACCAGCAGCATCGGCCTCTCCCGGAGGCTTGTCAGAAACGAAGAGCCTCAGGCCCTACCCGGCACCGAACCAGAATCTGTACTTCAACCAACTCCCAGGGATTCACACGCTCGTGAACTTTTGAGAGTTTGAGAAGCAAAACAAACACAAGGTTGCTAACTCTTAACTACGTTATTTAGAATCTGAGCAGGTACTAAGCCTCCAAGTACAAAGGATGGAAATTTGTGCTCCTTCAATGTTGAGAGCAACAGTGTCCTTTGTGGACAGCTTGTCTTCCAGACTGAAATTAAGGCTGGAAAAAAAAAATCATCCTTTAGAGACAAGCTGAGTACAGGGACACTCACATTGTAGGCTGTGAAATCTAGCGTAGGTCTTTCAGTGGGCAGAAATGAGAAGGTCAGTGGTCAGGATGTTAGAATGTGTCATGTGCTGGTTTTCGGCAAATCGTGGTTGCTATTTGCAAGAACGTGGGAACTTTTAATGTTGGTCTAATGAAATGGAATGTCCTGAAAAATTCCACAGATACTTGACTTATTGATTTAGTTCTCTGCAGAAAAGGGCAACATTCTTTCCATGTCCAGGAGTGCGTTGCACACAGACGGTGCTCAGTACGTACGCTGGGCAAACAGATGGACGGGTGAGCTCACTTACTGACTGACTCCTGACTTCAAACACGCTCTCCCAGACTCTGCCGGTACAAACATTAAAAAACAAAACACAAACAAAAAAAATCCCATCCCAGGTATTCCTGTTGCTGCGGGGTTGCCAGACCCACAAACATGTACTTAAATGCAAGACAACAAACAAAATGCCACAGGTCTTTGAACAAAAACGCCGTGGGCGGGTGCGTCATACAGTTGGGGGGAAGATTTTAGACATCCCAGGTGCACAAAATGGGGTCCATTTGGCTTCTAGGAAATATTTGATCATCTTATAAACAACCGAAGATTCCACCAGTTTTGCCCCTCGTAAGTTTGCAACTCTCACTACGTACGCATCTGCATCTACAAGCTAAGACAGCCAGGACTTGGAGACGGTATCGTTTTTAAACCAGGATAAAACATAGTGCCTACTATTTTTAGTTGGATAAAACCTCGCAGGCATGGAGCGGAGGGTGCTTTGGATCTCATTTCGCCTGCAAAGCTCCCGTGCCACGAAGCCGTTAGGAGTGACCACCTTCCGTGTCAGCAGCTCCATGGGGCTGCTCCTCCCCAGCACCAGGTCACGGAGCCAGATTGCTCTGTCCTTGGCCCGGTGTCCTGAGCAATTTTTCCTCTATTGCTAAGCACAACGATAGACCTTTCACTTTCTAAATCTCTTGCAGCTCTCTTTTTAAGTAAAATAAACAAATAAATAACAAAGCGTATTTTCTTTGCCTTCATCTAAAATTGGCTTTGAAATCATTGGTTAAAACCTCTTGCCAGAGAAAGAGCTACAGATGCTCTTTTCATAGACGTGAACTAAAGTCGGCTTAGTTGATACACATGGGGAATCCACGGCCAGGGAAGTTTCATACATTCCTAGAAATTCATGGTTTACTTGGAGGTCTCACTTCTTATCCCGTTAAGGGTGACTTCATAAAACGCTTAATCGTTTCTGTACTAAATTTCAAAAGGTGAATGTTCAGTAAGATGTTTTACATTCAAGATGCTAGGTGTTTTATTGTTGTTGGTGTTTTTTTTTTTTTTTTTGAGATCTAATTCATACACCATAAAATTCACCATTTTGAAGCATACAATTTGGGTTTTTTTGGTATTTTCACAAGATTGTGTAACCATCACTAATCTTTAATTGCAGAACAATTTCATCCCCGCCCCGAGAAGACCTCACAGCCATGACACACTCACTGCCCATCCCCCCCGCCCCGCCCCCGGCCACCCCTGGAGACCCCGATCTGCCTTCTAGCTCTAGATCTGCCCGTCCTGGACACTTCCTGTGAATGGCACCATATGACATCTGTTCTTTTTGGGACAGTCTTCTCCCACTCAGCATGTTTCTGAGGCTCGTCCACACTGTAACAGGTGCCCGAGCTCCTGTCCTCTCGAGGGCTGAAGGATAGTCCCCTGTGTGGGGACGCTGCCTTTTGCTTATCCGTTCATCAACTGATGGACGTTTAAGTTGTTTCTACTTTTCGGCTTTTATCAGCCATAAGTTTGAACATCTGTGCACAAGTTTCTATGTGGACACGTGTTTTGGATTCTCTGAGGTTTCCAGCGGGGTGGGGGGTGGGCCTTGCGGGGCATACGGCAGCTCTACCCGACTTTCTGGGGAAACCTCAAACCATTTTCCACAGTGGCTGTGCCGTTCTCAATTTCCTTCTGGAGCGCCGGGCCCGTGAGTGTTGCTGGTCTAAATCTATGTTCATCTAATAAACCAAAGCAGTCAAGGACGTCCTATGAGCTTCGATAGAACTGGTGCCTCACCTTGAACCCGGGGAACCCAGGGATGCCGTGCTGGCCGGGGTCTCCTTGGCTCCCTTTCTTCCCTGGCTCCCCACTGACGCCGGGAAAGCCCTTGGGGCCTGGCAGCCCCGGGAGCCCCCCGATGAACTGATCACTCTCTGCGCACTTACAGTCCCCAGCGTCACCTGCAGCGTGAGGCAGAGGGAAAGACTCGTTAGACACTTCCTGGCTGTGCAGGGGACAGAAGTCCAGGGCGGTGGGGGCTGGCCCGACGAGGAGGCACTCCGGGACCTCGTCTGCTCCGTGCTCCGTGGGGAATGCTTCCGAGATGAGGAGCAGGAGTTACTCCCCGGGATGCGGAATCCTGCCATGTTCCCCCAAGATGCTAAACAACATGCCGTTTACCGAGGTGTGTGTGGAGCTGAGGAACGGGGGCCTCCCAGGTCAGGGGCTGGGGGGAGACAGGGTTCCAGGGGCTGGGGAAAAGGGGGAGCCATGGCCCAAGGCCAAGACCCTGGGTGGGAGGCAGGAAATACTCGACCTCCCTTCTCTGTCTTGCTGTGGCAGGGCCCTGGGAGACCACTGCTGGTGGCATGGAAGGTGACAGGAGGTGGCTCACGGGGACGAGGGGTATACAGTGGTGTCTGAATCCTGCGGTTGGCCCCGTCCGTCACGGGGCACCCACACACCCCACGTGTGCCACAAAGGTCAGGGTGCACTGCTTAGGGCCACCGGGGCTGGCCCTTCCCCAGAAAGGCAGCGTCCCCTGGGTGCAGCGTATTTCTTTACTAGAAACTCCCTATTCCTGCTCGTTCGACTGCACCTCGCCCACCAACTGGGGGCGAGATGCTGGGGACCCTGCTCGGTCCTGTCCCCGCTGGTGACTAATCCCTAACTCAGGGAGACATGAGCTGTGACGACCGCTCTCTGGAACTCTGCGGGGCTCGTGATGCTGCCTTTGAGCTGAGCGCTTAGAAGAATCATCTGCTTCAGCCCAAGAAGTCACTGCTCCTCTTTTCTGTCCCTCCTGGGCTCTGCACCCCCCAAAGGTTCAGTGATGAAGGGGGAGACAGAGACGGGAGAAAGGAGGGCCAGCACTGGGCTGGGTGCTCAGACAGCGCGGTGGGTGCCACGCACCTCAGCCCCGGGGTAACACCACGGGACAATGGAGTGGCTTCCTGCCCTGCCTCCAGCATTCCCGATGACGTTCCTTACCTTTCCATCCTTTGTGTCCGCGAGCCCCAGGGAAGCCAGAAGGCCCAGGGTAGCCCACGTTCCCTTCTGCTCCTTTAAGGCCGAAAAGGAAACCTAAGGAGAAAACCCACAGGGATGTGAGTGCTGCACGGAGACCCCGCTCTCCCCAAACTCAGGGTTGGAAGGGTCACTGCCCGGGTCTCCCAACAGCGGATGCAGCTCCATTCCGGGACACCCCTTTGTGGCCGCAGCCCCCCAGGGATGGAGGGAGAAGCAAGAGCTTATGAGTTTAGTTTTCCTGTTGAAGGCTAGAGATAAAAACCTTTGCTTTTAAGAAACACGGAGTCCAAAGAAAGGTTTTCACATTTCAGCCATGTATTTTATTCTATTTTAAAGAAAATTTTTTTTTTTTAGTTTCTTAGAGTTTTATTTTTACTAACCGTACTTTCTTATTTTTGGTCTTCCATATAGTTTGAAACTCTGAATACTAAACACATTCTTTTATAACAATCAAAAAAAGCGATTTTCATGTCCAGAAAAAATCTATGGGCATTTATAGATTGAAGGAACAATTGACATCTTCATGATATTTCTGTGTAATCAGCCACATATTTTATTTACGTTAAGACCAACACAACCTTGGGTTCCCCAAAAGACAAAAAACCAAAACAAACCAAGATATGAAAATGACCTCGGTTCCCTATTGCTCTGCCCTTGGGCAGGTGCACATGCGGGTCTGTGAGGTTAAGGCAGACGACTTGGGACCATCCGACTCCAGCACCCCACCTCCCCTTTCCCGACCCTCACCCCCAGTGACTAGGATCAGGGCCGCTCAGAAGCCCTGCCTCGTCTCCAGGCTCCCATAATTCTGAGCAGGGATACGGGGAAGCGTAAGAAATAGGCTCTCAGGCCTACAACTCTCTCCGCGTCTTCTCGACGGCAGCGCCACCTCGTGGTGGGGACGAGGCATCACGCTCCCGGGAACCGGCACTGATGGGTAAGGATGGGAATGTCCCCCAGAGCCTGTCCTCGCTGCCAAACCCTGCGGTGCTCAGAGCCCCAGATCCAGAAACCCCCAACGCACTGAAGTACCTGCTGCCATACCCACCTCCTGGTACCTGGCGGGCAGAGAGAAAGAGGCCACCAAGGAAGCCGGGAGGAGAGGACACGCCGATTTTAAGGGCATCTGCTCTCTGCTTGGAAAAGCGACGCCAGACCTGGAGGTCAGAGCGCTCCTAAGTAACTACATTTATGGCAAGGCGGCAGCGACTCCTGTCCCGTGCGTTCGGTTTCACCACACATTTAAGACGGTGTCTGTCATTCACACACTGGTGTGTCCAGCTTCGGTCTCTGCTAGCCCAGCCATGTGCCAGGAGCCGCGCAACCCGGAGGGAGGACTGCAGACCCTCGCGGTGCTCGTGGTTCGGATGTGGGATGTGCAGACACACACTGGTAAACAGACCAACACACAACGTCCAAGGATGGCCAGGCCTGTGCGCACGGGGGCTTCCAGAGAGTAACAGAGAAAGCCCATTTCAAGTAGGGGGACAGGAAAGCCCTTTCTAGGACCGAAGCCTCGGACCTGCAGAGGAAGAGAGAGCGGCTGAGCATGGGCACCAGCAGGGGTGTGTCCGCGAGCCCCTGAAGCAGGGGGGAAGCCAGGAATTGGAGGGCAGGTGGAGGGGCCATGCCAGGGGCGTGGATTTTATCCCAAGGGCAACAGGCAGCCATCAAAGAGGTTTTATTTTAAGTAGGCTCCACGCGGGGCTCCACGTGGGGCTTGAACTCCCAACCCTGAGATCATGACCCGAGCTGCAATCAAGAGTCGGACATTTAACCAGCTGAGGCACCCAGGCCCCTAAAGGGTCTTGAGGAGGGAAGTCACACCAATGTACAGGTTAAAGATCTACGTGCCCCCTGTGCAGAGACTTGAGCGGAGAGAGAAAGAGGAGAGGCTGGTCACCCAGCAGACCCACACCACACACCGTGGTGGCTTCACGGTGGTTGAGTGAAGAGCAGCGGGCAGAGTCAAGAGGCAGAGGGGTCCAGGGTGCGGGCGAGCGAGGTGTCAGCGCGACAGACACCCAGGGTTGTGGCCTGAGGTCCCGGGGCTGTGGGGAGGGGTAGGGCCCAGCACAGGGCAGGGCAGGTCGGGGACCTGGGTGGCAGGAGACCCAGAGTTCAGTTGGACGCACAAGGATAGAGATGTCTGCGAGCCAAGCAGGGTGGCCACGGGACGGGCCGACAGTCTGAGCGAGTCTGGGGCTCAGTGCAGACCTGGGCCGGAGACACGGGGAGAGCCGGGGAGAGCTTGAGCTTAAATTCATGGAAGCCGCGGACTCCAGCCAGGTGGAGGGTGCAGACACAAGGGAGGGCCAACAAAGGCACCTCCAGGAGAATGGCCAGCGAGCTAAGAGGGGAAGGACAGAGGGGCGTCGTGGAAGGCCAGCGTGGAAGGAGGTGGCCGGCTGCATCCTGGGCCTGTGGAGCGGGACGGTGCCCCCGGGATGTGCCCCCGGGTCCCTGGCGACCAGGTCAAGGGCATTTAGGCCTCGGAGGACTTTGTGGGCTTTATTTTATGCCTCCAGGTTCTCCCGATGTTGTGAGAAGTGCAGCAGACAGGTAAGTATTCAATCATGGATATTCCAGGGATGTCGGATTTTAAGTTTGACACAAAGACAGTCACTCTTGGCGAACCCAGTGGCCATCCTGAGGTGCATCCCCTTTGCTATGTGCTTTCTTTATCTAATGAACTAATTTCACACAAGTCCTACAGAATAGCAGCACACCTCTCAGATGTTTTCAATATGGTTTTCTTGACGAGGCCAAGGGCCAAGGGCTGTAACAAAGCTGGCAGTATTCTGAATTGTTCTAGAAAACACTGGAACTGCCCCGACACTTGATTCAGTGAACTCAGCTAGAACCAAGAGCAAGCAAAATATTTAGCTCAGAAAGAAAACTGACTTCATGGTTTGGTTCTGTGGGAACCGCAAAAAGCGAAAAATTCTGGTTTTCATTAGTAGCAACACATAAAACAGGATGGAGTGCAGTTAACAAGAAAGGAATCCAAGAATTTCATTCCAGGGGAAAAGCTGAAGAACTGTGTGGGAATCAAGGTCACTGGTATTAAATTCTGACTATGCACAAAAATGTTTTAAAAGGCCATTATGGTTGGCTACTTTTTGTACAAGAGACTGCTTTTTTAAAAAAAAGTGATTTGGAAACAATGTGTCTCACGGAGTAAGAGAAATATTTCAAGGAGAACTTAAGTTGTATGCTTTTCATATCTTAGGTTGATAAAATTTATTGGATACTATTCCATGCATTTACAAATAAAATATGCAAAAGAAACTAATTTGTTTGCAGATAACTTATATTAGTAAATCACAGACTTACTATAAGCAAGATTTGTAAAAAGCAAGATGGTGTTTGTATCTTTAGGAAAACGGAATTTAGTTACTGGAATAATGGCAAGGTCAGCCTTCAATCACAGTCCCTTAAAGAGGCAAATTTTTATGCTTTTAAAAACTTTTAACACATCACTTTCTGTTGCCAAAAAGGAAAACTTAACAGATAACATTTACTCAGGAAACATAATGCTCACAGAAACTTGGCCATTATCACTGACGTCACAGTAATAAATAGTACTTCCGGGATAAAAATACATTAAAGATAACACTGCTCAAACTCTTCGGCAAATTCCAGGGAATTATCTACACCTAAAAATTTTCAAAAGAATGTGAGAATCTGGCTTTGCCAGTTGAAGGAAAATCGGAAGAGTAGAAGCATGCTAACTTAGACATTCACTGTAGAAGACAAAATGGGATCAGAGCAGGGACTGCTGATTGCTTAATGGAAGACGTACGTGCGCAGATGCTCCTAGGAGCCCAAGCATCTTCCCTCTAGAGATGGCAAGAGGAGCAGACGTCCCAGAACAACCAAAGCACAGATCTGAGCCCGACTTGGAACTGAGATCAAACACTATCTGTCAGCAACATGATGCTCTCCCTGCCTGAAGAGAGGAGGCTCTAAGAGATCATGGGGGAGGGGGCAGGATACCAGGGAATTTAAAGTCAAGTATTTCGGAAAGAGGCTGATAAACTGTGGACCATATCACAGAGAAAGACATTGTGACCTCACGTTTTCTTCCAAAGCCTCGCTTATCCAAACTCTTGAGGGGATGAGATGTTCCTGTTAGGAGATTTTACAACGTCTAAAACCACCCTTTAAACCTGGAAGCCGAAGAGATAACCATTTTTGATGCAAGCTGAAAGACAGACTCACGGTTCCCTGCCTCCTCGGAGCATTCTCCACTAAAAGAGGAGCCATGGAAACACAGGAACCTGGAAAGCCACTCTGCACGAGGATCCGATGCCGCCCCGGGCAGCACGGGCCGCAGGAGCTCATGCTTGTCTGGTTTATAGACACTCCTAGTCCTGCCTCTCGGCCTTGGCCACGTCTCGTTCGAGGAACGCCGCCCCCTCGTCTGTCGACTACTGTCGGGGATAGGTTTGCCCTGCATGGGCTGAGAAGGCAGATGACCAAGTCTGCCTAAGATCACTAAGACAGAGGAGAGAGGCTACAAGTCAAGGCAGGAGGCCTCCACCCTGGAAGAAGGTGACGGAACGTATCACAGAGATGCCCGGCAGCTTTCAGCTTGCACCTGCTTCCAGACTGCGCCGCTCAGATGTTCCACCGCAGGGCTGACCTCACCGGAGCCACAGTCGGCCAAACCCTACTGGGTAACGTCCACGGGCCTGCTGGTACTCAGCGGCTTTTCCGTTTGCACCCCAGAGCACCTGCCACACCCCAGTGCAATGCCTACTGTGTTGGTTCATGGAATTATTTAGCAGAGAATCTCTGCACACCTCTGGCAGGGGCCAGGCTGCTCTGTCCCAACCCGCGTTTCCTTCCCCTTACCATCTGGTCCCGGTGGTCCGGCAGGCCCTGGGGGTCCTGGGAGTCCTGGCCTTCCATCGGTGCCCGGTGGGCCGGGGTACAGCGCAGGGATGCCTGGGTCTCCTATGAAGCCTTTGGGGCCCATTTCACCCGGTAAGCCTCTCCTCCCATCTGAAAATGCAACAGTGACCGCCAGCAGCATGAGACTTGGGATACAGAACATCTGGTTTGGCATTCCCGTCCCCCGGGGGCCACCAGGACTGGCGGATCTACAGTCCAGTCAGTGACTTAAGGGTGGATGCTGTTGGTAGATTTCATCACCTTATTTCCCCCTCAAAAAAGCCCCAAATGATGGTGTGAGTTGTAACCCTGGCCGGACAGCTGCCCATGCTCGCCCGGCCAGCCTGCAGCATCACGCCAGTCGCTGTCAGCGGCATGTCCAGGCCCCGTGGGGGACGCCGTCGCAGGGGGACCGCTCCCCAGACGGCCTGTGACGCACGCGCTCGGGCCGCTTCGAGCCGCTGAGCCTCGTCTGTGGGAGCCCAGCGGCAGAGCCGAGCGGTCAGGAAGGGGCCGGGGCTCTGCGGGAACACCCGGGTGGGGGCACACGTTTGATACCACGGAGTCTATTACCTTCATCTCTGACGGACGTGCCGGGGAGGCCGGGTGGGCCCGGGTCTCCTGGTGCACCTCGGCTTCCGGGCTCCCCGTGGGTCCCTGGGAATCCTGGGTCACCTCTGGCACCTGCAACCGAGACAGGCCCCCCACTTAGAACAGGACTGCCTGCGTCTGAACCCGGTTCCTCCACTCTTTACGCCCGTGATCTAGAGTTCTGTGCCTCAATTTCTCCACCAGCAAAACAGGGCTACCATCAGTCCCCATCTCAGGGGGTGGTTAGGAAAAGTAAATCAATCAACAGGAGTGAGGAGAGTGACTGAGACCCCTGCCCGCGCCCCGTGAGCACTGCATAAATGCTAGCCATCAGGAATGAGTCAGAGGAGACAAAATAAATGCAGACCACAGACCCTCTCATTTGTTTGGGAGAAGAGCAAGATTCATTGTTTTAGTTCACTTGCAATCATTAAGAAAAAAAAATACAAGTCTCCTCCAGCCTTCTGGGTCTCGACAAGCTCCTGCAAGGCTACTCTGTGAAGATATGTTTATTTTCTTCTCTTCCCTGAGGGAACCTGCTCATTAGTCAGCCTATGGTGCTCAGGAGCCCACGCCTGCCAACTCACCAATTTAAAACCATCGCCTTCCCAGTGTGGTTTCAGAAATATGAGGTGGTGAGAACAGGGAGTGGATGGATTCTGGGCTCTCGGTCAGGGACGTTTTTGAAAAATGGCCCACATTAATTAAAAAAATTATGTTCCTGAAGCCTCAAAAGGCAGTATTTCGATTTCACCATAATCATTAACAGTGAGTGGACCTCATGCTCCTTTTCCTGGGGTTTCTGGCTTGGCAGGCACGCCACAGTTGGACTCCACAGTCAGGAGGGCGCGTGCTAGCCGTCCAGGGAGGGCGATCTGAGGTGTTGAGCATGGATCCCAAATACGCTCATTTACCCGGATGTGTTAATTGGCAAGAACGCATGAAACACAGCTATCTTTGCGTTGGGCGTTCTTCTCTCGGGGGCTCGCCGGGCTCTGTCCTCAGCCCTGTGCTAGTCTATGTTCTCACCAGTATTGGACAAACACATGCAAAGGTGGTTGTTAAATGGACAGATGGTCCCCACCACCCAGGAGAGGGAGTGTTTGACCTCTGGACATATAAAGCAGGGAGTCAGCTCATCTGCTGGGTGCAGGAAGAAAATATTAGACCACCTTTATTTTAAAACACTCAGTCTTTAAAAATCCCTTTCTGGGGGCGCCTGGATGGCTCAGTCGTTAAGCGTCTGCCTTCGGCTCAGGTCATGATTCCAGGTCCTGGGATCGAGTCCCGCATCGGGCTCCCTGCTCGGCGGGAAGCCTGCTTCTCCCTCCCCC